GAAGCACATTTTAACAGAAAGTTAGTAATACAACATCCAGCAAAAATATTTAACAATATTTCAGAACACAATCTTGAAACACAAATCACTTCCGCACAATCTCAGCACAATTCAGACACAGACAGACGAATAGACAGCAGCGCGTGGTGGGACATAGGCTACAGTATAACGGGGGAAGACAGACACACAGCCACAAACACAAAGAAACATACAAAACACAGAAACACAGACAACGTTGTAGTTCAGTCAAGAAAAGACAGAAAAAAAAGAAAAGAAAACGTCAGGAGCCGGCTAAAAGAATGTATGACGCATCTTTTAATTGTCCAATTTCAATTTTACAAATCCCTTTTATTCTCATTTCAACTTCTCAGTCCTACACTTCAGAGCTGGGTCAAGCTCGAGGCGAAAATAAGCCTCAATTTAGTTTATTCGATCACTCAATCCGCCCAGTGACAAAAGGTTTTTTCTTTTTCAGCTGGGGAGAGCGATTGAACCCGTATTAAATCAAATAATTTATTTTAGTCCTTTATACTATAAGCAACCCGCTTAAGGGTGCCAAAGAAAGGTGATCCAACCTGCTATTAGTCCTTTATTTTCCACGAGTGATACAACTCGGTCCAATTAACCTGATATTAGTCCTTTTCCATGAGTGATACAACTCGATCCAATTAACCCAAATAATTATAAGTCCACTGGAGATGAGTCGAAATCTCCGGCTGATACAAGCCAAAACTAACCAATACACAAATTTCCAAAATACTTTTTTAGAGGCCCAGGCATTGCTCCTCAGGGTAAAAAGAATATACATTTTTTAAAACCCAGCTTAAGTCAGAGTTAACGTAAAGGCTCTGTTTTGAACTAGCCACAGTTCCCTGTAATGTGTATTTATTCAAATCCTTAAACAACTGACTCTTTTAGAAGGGATTTTATCTACCTCTGCAGCATCTGAATTCTGTGAGGCCGCACACAGCAAATCAGCCCCGGTCCGACCACACGGCGCTTCAGACAACTAAAAAATAATCAAATACTGTCTTACCACACCGAAGCGTCGGGCCGAAACGGACCAAACAGCCGCGCGCCGAGACTCCAGAACCGGCACGAGCCCCCAATTGTAAAGGAAGAAAATATTCTAACATAGTTAACTTTGGAAAAAGATTGGCTTCTGATTCTTCCCTTCCCCAGGTCCACTCGGCGAGCTGCGTTTGGTAATAAAACCAACATTGCGTGTTGACGTCACAGAATTACAGAGTTTAATCCAATATAAGACAATGCATACACTTTAGAAATAAGACAATGCACAAACCTACACCAGAAACTGCAGAACAACAGAGACATACATTCCATTACCTGACATAGGAGGAAAGAAAGCAAAGAGTACAGAGACATCTTTGGAGAGTTGCAAGGGCAAATCTGATCTTTTTCTTCTATTTAGAAAGCTTTATCCTCTTGTATCTAATCCATTCAAAAAGGGGCTGGCCCTCGGTCCTCCAACCAAACGCCATCTCTGACACTGCTAGGGCTTCCCCTTATTTACTGCAAACATCTGGGGTCATTTGCTTCTTTGTTTTAACAAGAAAAGGCGGAAAGCTTGTCCTGGCATCTAGAATTCCTAAAGTCATAAAACACAAGATAAGCTCTCACAGACAGCTTGTGGAATGCGGGGGGCCTCACCATCCCTGGTTGTTTATTCTGGAAGACTTTTGACCTTCTGTAAACCAAGCAGAAATCTCTCCTGCAGGCTTAACTGTTATTCACCCCCCAGGAGATACTCATTTTAAGGCCTCCTGTGCTTTGAATACTTACCCATTAGTAGTTTTAAATCATTAACACAGCCTTGTTCAAAATTAAGAAATATGTTCAAGTGAGAGTGTTTACACATGCCATAAGATTAACTGTAATAAAGTCTAAAAAATAATCATTTTTCTTTAACACCTCCTCCTAAATAAGTGAAGGAAGGAGTATTTGGTGGACCAAATGTAGTCATTGTTTGCACAATGTGTTCTTGTTGCAAATAAATATTATTATTGCTGCCCATCTCCACCTTACATCTTTTCCAACCCAATACATTTAGAAGTTTAAGAAATATGAAAAGGAAATTATACCAATCTGGAATTCAAACTGACATCATTCAAATTGACATTTCCATGATTGTATCAGTGCTTTGAGGAATTTCCAGTAGCTCCTCTAAAAATTAACCTTAGGCTGCTGTAGCTCATCAATGTCACTGTAGTTAATTTTATCTTAAATTAGCAGCCAGTGAAAAATGATAACTCTCATCATCATCATGGCCATTATCATAAAGGCAGATTAATGGATATAGTGCAATGCAAAACCTTCTGCTTTTTACTTTTTCACTTCAATGTTTTTCACTGGGGTTTTATGTGTCAGACCAACACAAAGTCGCATGCAACTGTGAAAGAGAACTAAAATGAACCTATTTGCAAAAAAATAAAAAAAAAATAAAAACGGTGGCATGCAATTGTTTTAGCCTTTTAACTGTAATACCCATATCATTGAAATCTAGTGCAGTGAAAAGTGACCAAATATAGTTAATATGTGTAGATTTAATTCCAGAATAAATAGAAATTACTGTTTAAACAGTATCAAAATGACCAACAAACATAGGAATAGATTTTTGAAGAAGTTTCAAGTTGGGTTATGGTACAGGAGTAGGGATGTTTAAGATAGATTTAATCAGAGAAGCAGGAAATAGAGCCATGGTAACTGTGGGGAGCCACAGAGTTCTTTAACTCAGGTGGGAAATAGACATTTGTTAGTCATGAGTTCTGAAAAATCTGGACTTTATATAGATTGGCAAAAAAGTAGTTGTCAAAAGAAAGCCATAAAAAGTCTTGTTTGCTATGACCACTAACCATATTGTAGACACAGTAAACGTTCAAAAGTAGGCACTGTAGGCACTATAAAACAGTATAGTGGCAGCATCATACTGTGGGGAAGTGTCATCATTCATGGAGTTAGACTAGTCATATAAAAAAATGTTTTAGAGACAGGAACAATCTGGAGACTGGGTAAGGTCCTGCTAGATAATGTACATTACCCCCCAACCAGAGCTACAGAGGAACAGCCTAGGGGTCTTCAATTCAAGTCTTCAAGGGAATTGGAAAACCATGGTAAACATATTCATGTGGGAGATTGGCCCAGTAAAAGTTTAGTTTTCAAACCAGTTTGTAATTTGTGGCAGAATTTTAAAATTGTACCCATTTTAAATGAGCTCAAGCTGTTTTACTGAGAACGATATGTTGATAAGTGGTTCTGAAGAGCTGCATTAGGGAGGGTGTATACAAATGCATAGAATTTTTAGATTTCATCCTCAAAAGGTCTAAAAACCATGTATCTATTTACTTTCAATTGAAAAGTACTTTGTATTTATCTATTCCCATTAATCCCATTTAGGTATAGTTAAGTATGTATTAACAGTGATTTGTAGAAATTTGTAACACTAATAACTCATTGGTGGTTTAGGTGTAAAATAAATTAGAACAAAGTTAAACTCTGGGTAGAGAAAGGTTCCGGATTTATAGCTCAACTCTGATTTCTTTATATAGAAGTTGCTACCATAGAATTAATATTTTCTTTACATTCCTTCTTCGAAATTGATATGTTCCACCAGCAAAGTGAAAGGCCACATAGCAGTGAATGTGAAAAAAAGAGAGCCTGTGCACTTTATATTTAAACATAGAATTATCAGGCCAAAACAAATGTGCAACTGAGTAGTTTAATAGAAAAAACAATTGTTCGCTTATGCATAAAAATGACAGAATGAACAAAAAACGATGCAAAGCAGAAAAGGGATTTAAACACTTATTTAGTTTGAAGGGGACACCTGCTAGGAGAAGGACCTGTGATAACTACAATTAGGATTTCAGTGAAAATCCTCCTCTTAAAATGATGTAATATTACAATTTGTGCCCAAATATGTCCGCAAATAAGGTAGAAAATGATGATTCTGTAAACTAGCAGATTCTCAGCTACCTGAGAATCTGCTACATCATGTTTCAAAAACAAAATGCTTTCATGAGCTGCTGCTCTTTCAACACTTTGCACTGTTGGGAACACTTTACTGAATGCTGTACTCAATGAAAAAGCACCAAACATGCTGGGATTGGCATAGAACAGCTCACCTATTTCAGACCCTTTAGTTTGTAGTGTTTTTATTGAAAAAGACAGCATGCAGTTTTCAGTTTTTAATAGTAATAAAAGTGTTTTCAAGAAAACGCAACCAAATTAACTTTTATCATTAGAAGTTGTGGAGAGCCAGAGTAATTAAATGATACCTTACAGTTTTTGGTGCTATTGAGGGAGAAGACATACGGCAAAGGTTTCAAGGTCACAAATCAGTCGCAGGAACTTTGCATTGATGACTACAGCATCTATATAGACCACGCTATGCTTCTACAAATAAACCTGTGACAGGTTTAATATCTGGGAACTAAAACGAGACAGTATTTAACACTAAAGTGGACTCCAGGCACCAACTTTCAGAAACAATTAAAGTTAACAGCACCAGGTGTGGACCCATTTACAAACTCACACTGAAGTGTTAGAGGCATATGCAACAGTGTTGATTTGACTGGGGAGTTTGCTGTAAAAAAACTGTACTGACAGAGAAAAAAGAAGGTTGACAGAGACGGATGATCTTTTTTACGTCTGGATTGTTCAGCGCTGGTCTGGATTAGAAGCATTAGCAGTAATGGCCTGGTGTTGTCACAAGAGTGTACAGGATTATTATGAGGAGGCATGAGTGCTTCCTGTTGTCATCTCTGATCCTGTTTGCACTCCTCCTCCACATCATTTAGTTCACTTTTGTTTAGATTTGTGTAGATTCATGTTTCCTGGACTGGATCACAGCTTGCTGGATGTAAGGGAAGCACAGAGGCTGTCGACAACTGGTTCCAGTTTGTTATGGGGGCAAGAAAGCAGATGGATAAAGCCTGCGGGGGAGGAACAGTCTGATGGAGCTCCTTTGCCCCCTTTCATAGGTTGCGGCTGTTCACGGCGCTGCCATGACGGGCACCCAGGAGCCAGACCTGCACGAGCAGCATGAAGGACCCACACAGGAGGCAGAGGATGAGGAGGATGATGGTGAGAAGGTACGAGTGTCAGTTGAGGAAGAAGAGTTGGAGAACAAAGGAGAAGGAGGGGAGGAGAAGGAAAGGGAGGAGCTCCCGTACCCAACCCTAGCACCAGTAGTTCTGTTGGCTCTGACCCAAACCAGCCCTCCCCGCTCCTGGTGCCTTCGTGTTGTCTGCCACCCATATCCTTTACTACATGTTTGCAACTGCGATTCTTTTTTTTATAACTCCTGCGTCTCTGTTTCTGCTCTGTACTGTATCAGAACTGTTGTACGTGCAAGGTAACAAGCACAGCGATATTTATGTTCCCTTAAAACGCAGGAGAGGTTGGACGAAGGTCAGCGCCGTGCATATGTTTGTGTGTTTGCATATGGATGTCTGTTGGGTAGAGCTCAGGTATTTCCCTGGGCCCATTACTTGTAGAAAGACATGGCTAGCACTTTGGTCCTAATTGCAGGTTTCCATAGTGACAAGCCCTAATGAATCTGCAGGGTTACAGCTGCCTGTCAGTTGCATTGTTACTGGCCTCTATTTATAAGGCAGAAGGGGTTACAAACAGTGAAGAAGACCCACGTCACCTTCCAAACCTTACTTCCATCTTTATCGTCTCCCCTCCCCTTCTTTCTCGCCGTCTCTCAGTTCCTCCATCCAGTTCCACCCTAAAGGTGTTAGAGTGTTTCGGCGCAGTTATCAGCTCTGTGTGGTGTGTGTGTGTTTGTGTGTGATCAGCCAGGAATACTCTGAAGCGTGTATAAAACGTCAGCGCCACCTCAGGAATTTGTCGAGGCTGTCCAAATTGAATATTTTCCACAGCTTATGACTCCATGTGAGTTGGTGTGTGTGTGTCTATATCTTAGGTGTTTGTCATGGCATCTCTGTGGGTAGTTGCAGCAGTCAGCAGTTTGTGTTCTCCATAAATTTTTGGATAGATAATTGCTGAATAAATAAAATGTACACCAGGAGTAACATAGAAAAAGAAACGAATGCCATCATTAGCGTGGGTCGTGGAGACTCCGTGGGTTAGAAGCCCTCCTAACAATTAACGTAACTTCACAGAGGCAGAAAAGAATACAGTAAATAAACTGCACTTTTGCTAAATAAATATGCATTTTTTTTTGGCAATTTCGGCCCAATTTAGCTCTTTCTGATTGTGCCAATTCACAAGTTCACCTCAAGTTCACCTCAAGTCACCTCAAGACACAAAATAAACAAATATAATTTATATTTATAGACATGTAATCCAATTAGTCCAATGCAAACAATCCTAGCCAATTTCAAATTCAATTACGTTCAATTACAATGTTATCCAGCTATGTCTGCTATGTTATGTGGTAAGATTTAATTTTAGTAAGTTTTATTATTCAATCAAAAGTGGCCGATTTGCATCGTCATTGACTTACATTAATCCATTATATTTCTTATCCTATATGGCAGGGTGAAAAGTCCCTTTATGTAATATACCTCCAGAAGAACCAAATTAAGTTTAAGGGACTTTGTTCTCTTACCAGCAGGGGCAAAGGGGGTTGGCTATTCCAGCTCCTGAGTGCCGGTATCCTTCAAGTTTTAGATTCATCCTTGGTCCAACACACCTAAATCCAATGGTTGACTCACCTCTTCCGTATGTAGTCAATATCTCCCGAGTCCACTTCATCATCCAGTTACTTGATTCAGTTGTGTTGAACCATGGACACATTTAAGGGTTGAAGGATTCGACCACTCAGGGGGGTCATAAAACACAAAGTATAGGGTCACAAGATACTTTTTACAATCATTGTGCTGTGATCCCTGCGGTGTATGTACGGAAAAATATGAAAGAAAAACAGAAGTCTCATCGGAATTGCCTTTTTTGTACACCGAATTTTAAACACTGAATTTTTTTACACATTGAAATCCTTACACTAAATTTTTATCTGGTAAAAATTCACCTGCACAAAATTGGCCTGCAAAAAATTCACTTGCAAATGTGTTGACTTTTTGGTGAACTCAAGCCAAAGCAATCTACACTTGATGCAGTCGAGCAGCTTCTAGCCAATGAAATTAGCTCATTCGGTCACGTGACACAACAGTTGGGCATAGCTTTGTTCCCGGCTGAATGAAGCTGAATTAGTTTTTCTTTATAAATAGATATGATTACAAAACGTCAGGTAGCTACTAATAAACAGCCATTAGAGTTTTTCATCTGATCGGACTGGGAGAAATAACTAAGCCGATCACAGCTAGTGCGGCGCCCTTGTCTGCCAAGGCTTTTGGTTTGATCCGGAAGAAGTGGCCCGCGGCAACCTTTTTTTTTTTTCTGACCAAATGAGTTAATTTCATTGGCTAGAAGCTGCTAGACTGCATCGAGCGTAGATGCTTTGGCTTGAGTTCACAAAAAGGTCAACACAATTGTTGTAGAATTTTGTGCAGGTTCAATTTTTGCAAGAAAACTTTTTGCAAGTAAATTTTCACCAGATAAAAAAATCAGTGTCTAAAATTTAGTGTTAAAAATTCAGTGTTTAAAATATGGTGTACAAAAAAAGGCACATTCCAATGAGACTGTTTTTCTTCCATAAAAAAAATACATGATGAAATAAATAAATGTAATGTTTACTTATTTGCCTAAGACATCATTTGATATTAAATAAAAAATTGATTTATAAAGTGCCCAAGTGAATGATTAATTGCCCATTAACCATCTCAAATTGTTGAGTTAAATATTTAGATATTTAAAAGGAATTTATTTGAAGATGAATATAATTACTTAAGTCTTTATTAATAAATTGATACACAGTGAAATAACTATATGTACTTATTTTTGGGGTCAGAGGCTAAAATGTTTGGGGAGTCCCCTGTCTTGGAGCATCATAAAGTAAGTTTCCACAGTCATGATCTGCATGTCAGTTTTATATTTAGCGTAGTGCAATGTTTTCACATTAAAACGTGTTTTAAGAGGTTGTTCAGGTGTAAACTCTGAAAATTTGTATCATTTTACAAGTTTTGAAATAACATATTCTGGGATTTATTTTTGTTAGTCTATGTTGTAACTAAATAGGCTGGGCAATACCTGAGTCACATGTTTACAAAAAACCCCAAAGCAGAGAGACATTGACTGTACAGTACAAGCTTATAGTTAGGGTGGCTCAGGTTATCCTGGGCTATCTCTATAGTTATGTTGCTATAGGCTTAGACTTCTGGGGACCCATTTTCATCATTTTGCTTCATTCCATCTCTATTCTCCCATTCTGAAACATTACACTTAACCTGGTTCTGCTGGAGGTTTCTTTCTGTTAAAAGGGAGCTTTCCTTCTCAGGGTCGCTAAAAGCACGCTTGGTGTGAGGTATTGCCTTTGAGTCAATGCAATAAGCTGGTTTTAATTAGATAGAACACTTTTAACCAGTCAGTGGGTAGCACTGCTGCCTTGCAGCAAGTAGGTTCCAGGTTCAATTCCTGGCCGGGGATCTTTCTGCATGGAGTTTGCATGTTCTCCTTGAGCATGTGTTGGTTCTCTCTGGGTACTCCGGTTTCTTCACCTAGTCTAAAAACATGACTCTTAGGTTAACTGACTTCTCTAAATTCTCCTTAGGTGTGTGTGTGAATGTTTGTCTCAGTGTTGCCCTGCGGCCCCACCTCTCCCCCATTGACAGCTAGATATAGGCACCAGCACCCCTCGTGACCCTGCTTGGGATAACCGTGAGTGAAAATGGATGGATGGATGTATTGTGATTGTTGATTGATTTTTTGCATGTAATTTGTTGTCCTGATATCATGTAGCAACAAGTGAACATTCTGTCAAATTAGAGGTTTTTTGCGTCTAGAAAATTTTTTTAGCAAGTATGACATGGGGCTAATTACAAAAAAGCAGTACTTTTTGGTCACTAGTTTTTATATGAGGTCCAAAGAGGACCAACTCTGGACAAGGTCCAAAGCTCATCCAGCTTCCTGGGGAATGAAGGCTTCTCTGTGTGGTTTTAATCAAACAGCAAACAAACCATTTCGATCTTTGTTGAACAAGCTAATGCTAGATATGATACAAACAATCTCAGAAGACAAAAGTTACCAGAGTTTGTTATGTGTGTGTGTGAGGGGGCTGCAAAGCTGTCAGAGGCATAGCTGATAAATGTCCACAACTGAAGGCAACATCTGAGGGCAAGTGAGCAGCAGAACTGGATCACAGAGCAATGGAAGGAGGCCTGGTTTTCTTATCATATTCCAAGTTTCACTGATAAATGATACCTGCTTACCTTAAGAGAGCAAAAGGCTCAGAATGTGCAAAAAGGGATTAAGGGCAAGCAGTGGTGATGCCTTTGGAAATGTTTAGCTTAGAAGTCCTGCGCCTCTTGTTGATGTCACTTTGACATGTATCAACTACCTAAGCACTGCTGCACACTATGTTCACTTTCATAGAGACATTATTCCTTGAATGCTGTGGCCTTTTGCAGCAGGATAATTTTCCCTGCCACGAAGGAAACTGGTTTAGAAACTGTTTGGTGCACAGCTACACGAATAGAATGTTAAAGTTTCCTTTACCCTGGACTCACAAGTCCATTCCAAAAGGCTTCACCTCCCAATTTACAGCGATTTAAGTTTTGACCTCCCACATCTGGGTATCGTATACCCCAGCACACCTTCAGGACTTCACAATGCCTCAAAGACTCAGGCATTTTGGCAAGAAAAGGGAAGCCGACACAGAGTTTGGATTGTTGTCATAATGTTATGCCTGAACTATGTAAATGTGAAAATATGTAGCATAATCTTAACAGAAGTTCAGGATTTTGACTGTTTAAGTCAGAAACAGTCAGGTGGTTCTGCTTTGATGTTGTGGTACAGTTTCCAAAAACGTATCCATCACAAGCAAATGAGAACTCTGGAATAATACTGTGCCATGGCTTAATGATCATAGCACCCACAAAATGGGCTTACACCAGAGGCAACCAGACTCTTCCTTGTTTTTGTTGTTGTTGGTTTTTAGACACTCATCCAGGCGCCAGGATTCTGTTGGCAAGCACTAGAGCACACTGTAGTTGTAGCTTGGCTTATTCCAAGTAAGATGCAAACCAAAGACACACCCATCGTTCTCACTGGCCATTGGAGTCTCTTGTTTTGTGTAGGTTTTGTGCCATTTGATTGATGAACAAACAATGGAATTATTCAGAATATTTATTTGCTATGAAATTTGAACCTAGAAGAAAGCCACTTACCTTC